AAATAGAAAGCTCTGGACAAATTAGCCTCATAGCCACCAGAGTTGGAGTCCATTTCAGTCCTTTCAGAGGTTGCTTTTAAAGGGCAGTTATAGGGTTCACATAGGTTGCTGACTAATTGGGGGCAGAAGCAAACATTCCCCTCCCCCCAAATAAAAAAAAAAAAACAGGAAAAATCTGTGAACAGTCACGAACCTTAAATTGCTAGGCAATTGGTTGCACTGTATGTATCAGTCTCACCGCTGCACGCACACACACTCTCTCAAACCTCTGTGAAGCTGTTTTCACTGTTGCTTAGCAACTGCAGCTGATTGCAAATAATTTCAGGCTTTTTGGTTACAGACTTTTTTTTTTTCTTTTTTCTTTAGTTAAAGGCATCGTGGCGTCATTTCGAAGGAAACAGATTTTTTTTTTGGGTCCCTGTTCTCTACTTCTGGTACACCCAAACACCCAAGAAAGAAACAAGCCTCTTCTCTTTTCCCTCTCGCCCCGTTTAGTGGCTGCCGTGCGGGTGAGCCCGTGCCACTCGCGCCAGCCCTCCATCATCTCCGACGCCTCTGCGCTGGAGGGAGACCGGTCGTCCACACCCAGCGACATCAACTCGCCGCGCCATCGGACTCACTCCCTCTGCAATGTAAGAGCTGCCCACCACCGCACCCTCCCAAGTAGTCGCCACACTGTAGTAACTGTTGACTTGCCCTTTGCTGCCCGGCTGCTGTCGTTTCCTTCCACCATCGTTCTGGCTGAATCCATGTCGTCCCCCCCCCACCACCACCACGCAGTCTGTTGTGCACTCACTCGCAGCAGTGACTTGAATTTATGTGAAAGCCAGCTGTGGTTGTTTGAATAAGTGCATGCCTTGGCACCATGTCAAGTGTCACTTCCCCTCTGTGTTGTGATCTTTATCTTGTGGTCTTTATCGCTCACTCTGCACCCTTACTTCACCGACTTCTCTGGTCTCTCATCTCTCTCCCATCTCTTCATCTCCTCCTCCTCTCTCCCTCTCTCTCTCTCCGTCTCTTTCTTCTTTCAGTCCCTAGAAGATCTGGAGGAGGCGAAGCGTAAGAAGAAGAAAGAAAAGATGGGGCTGGGGTCTCTGTCGCGCGTCTTCGCCCGAGGAAAGCAACGCAAGTCCCTCGACCCCGGTTTGTTTGATGGTACTTCAACACCTGATTATTACATAGAGGAGGATGCAGACTGGTAAAGCACACACGTCCGAGTGAACCACCTGGAGAGCCTTTTTTTGGCAGTTATCAGAGGACAACGTTGTATTGCCCGAGCGCATGCGTGAGAGAATGTGCGTGTTTGCGTGCGCGTCTGTGTGTGTGTGTGTGTGTGTGTGATGAAAGCGTGTACAGATAAAATAATGTGTGTACCTTTGATGTAGTCTCACATGCACGCATGCTTCGGTTTGTATGGGAGCGAGAGTGTGCGCGTGCTTGTGCCACCCATGGTCAACGGCCATGTCAGGAGCCGGAGGCGCGTCTTGCTTCGCTGAAGTGTAAACCTAAAGAGCAAATTGCACCTGTATGTATGTATGTATATGTACAGCCCTGTAAATAGCGTGGAGAGTGTAATACAGCAGCAGTGTGGACATGTCATGTTGTATCTGCCCTCCAAAACAGCTGTGTTATCTGATCTTTGAATTGTTCTCTACATTTTTACTTTTTTTTTTTTTATTGTTTTCACTCAACTGGAAACTTGAAGGACTGCTGTACTTGTAAATAACAGTTGATGTGCACTCTGTGCGTGTAAATGTCTCCTTGTCCTGAATGCCTTTTTGTTATTTTTGACACGTACTCCCCGCCGTCCCTCCTCCCTCCCTCCCACTGCCTCTTAACTTTATCTCCTCCCTGTTTATTGTCCTGCCTGGTCCATCCCCTTCTTCCACACTGCCATGATGAGAACAGTTTCCTGTAGGCGGCATGCGGACTCCTGAAATTCACCGCTGGGTCGGTTGTCGGGTGCACATCCCTCAACCGCCGGAAAAAAAAAAAAAAGTCTGTGCAGAGGCAATCCTTGATGTTTACTTAGAGAGACTTCAAAGAAGCTGCTATGAGAGGAATTAACTTTCTACGCAGAACAGTTTGTTCCCCTGCATTTTGAAGCCAAACAGGAAATGTGAGAAATGTGTTTTCTATCTCCTCAGATAGAAGGTACATGTGTGACATGCATGCACGTAGCCCCGGTCCCTAAATCATGCATGCCTGGTTACCCCACTACAAAGAAAAATCTCTCCCTGGTTATGTTTCCGAAGAGGTGATAAACTGTTTGCTTTTCTTTTTAATTTAAAAAGAGAGGTTAGTTACTGATTTCACGTTCATTCATGATTTTGCCCCCATTTCAAATTAATTGATAAGATTTGTAAACTTAAACCTTTGCTGTTCAAGGAGCGCTCAGCTGAATGCTTAAGATCTTAACATCCTGAACTGCGCACAGTTTCGTTTTAATCTGCACCTGCAGGGCTTTTTTATGCGAAATTACATTTGAAATATCAAAGGTCAGCAAAGAAAGAAAACTGAACATTACACTTTGAATTTTTAAATATTATTCCACACTATTTGCAAGGCTTTGTGCCTTGCAAATAGTGTGGAATAATATTATTCCACACTATTCCACACGAGATATTCCACACAATAATATCTCTCTTTGTTTTTTAGGATCTAAGCTGCTTGTATTCATTGGTGTATGAATACTGGGAGCAGCATTATTCTGGGAAAAGTTAAAATAAGAAAGCTATCATCACAAAATACATAGCATAAACACCAATTATTCTTGCGTTGCAGGTGTTCAACTGACAGTCAAAATATTTCTAGACCTCTGGAATTAAGGGCGACTTATGAGCAGAACCTCAATTAAGAGGTGCAGAAATTACATGAACTACAACTGAAGGTTAAAAATCAGGATTTAAGCATCCCAATCAAGCAAAGGCGTACCTTCTCCCATGACCCCATGACCTCAGCAAAAATTCCAATGTAGAGTTCAAGCCATAGCTGGGAAAAGGAAAAAAATAAAGCAATTAACTTTGGACTAAAGGTTAATGGCATTAATCCGAGCAAAAGAATTTCCACAGACATCACGTTACTTCCGATCTTTCATTGGATTGAGTCGGAGTCTGCACTGCCACGCCCCAGGAAATCTTTTCTCTCCCTGATATTAAACTAACACTGGGTATTTGTTGGCCTCGCCTGAGACACTAGAGTGCCAGGTTACCGTGGCGTGTCCACATATCCAGTAAGGAGATCATCCTTTACATTTGAGTTCACGGTTATTGAATTTGCAGGTAAATCAGTAAGATAATTCAGAGATGAGTCACTATGAATCAAATTGTATGTACAGGAACAACGTCTCATGTTGGAAAAAAAATCACTGAACAGTCAGTTAAATGTATAAAATCTATGCTATTTTATCTTTTTTGTTTCATTCAGCTAATTTTTATGATCCTCTGCTGATGGGGAAACAACATATCAAGAGAAAAAAACATTATGTAATTTTATCTTTTGATCCGTGCTCTGTTTTTGTTTTGTTTTTGTTTTGTTTTTGTTTTTTAATTTCCCACGTATATTTTACTTTTTGTAAATGAGATAACATTGCAGAAATGAAATGAATATTATTATTATTATTAAAGAGTTTTATTTAAAGTCAAAGATGTAGGCCTCGGTGGAGGACTTCTATTCTGAAGCCCTGAGATGTTTAGAAGTGGATCGTAGCAAACTTTTAAAGGCATGGCAACAAAGTTACGCTCTAAAGAACTAAATGAGAAAAAATAAGATTATTTTAAAATAAAATAAGTAATGCTTAATTTCCACGTGGCTCTCCTCTCTTTCCCTTCATTAATGTTCGTGTGTGTGCGTGTTCATTTGTTGTGATATGGCTCTAATCCAGATTTGTCCTGTTATGCTGGAGGGGACTTACCATTTTTAACATGTGCCTTAGTTTCCCTCAGCCCTGCAACTCCCATCTGTGAGAGGACTGCATCCCAAAAGCTTCCCAATGGCCTCCTTTCCTCTCTTTTCCAATTTCAACTCCTTACTAAGCCAAAATGAAATGTTCCTCTTGTATTATATTAGAATCAATAATTAGAGAAAAACAAAACATTGGTGCAGAGGAGATGTGGCCATGTCATATTGTTGAATCTGATCTCATATGTGTCAGCACATGGCATCGATAATGTTTTGCTCTGATATGACTCCTGACCTCTAACACTGACCCCTCTTGTCTGACCTCCATCAGACTGTCGACACAGTGAGGCGACCCAAGAAGCGATCAGTCAGACTCAGTGGGACCGAGGTGCACCAGTTCCTGTGGCTTTAAAAATGAGTCGTGCTGGGTTGCAAACTGTGTTTGCAGATGTCTTTTAACTCCTAACATCACAAAAAAAAAAAAACACCTTTGGAGTTAAGCACTTCTTCAAGTTGAATTTAGCTCTAATGACAGGGATTTGGAAACAGTTGAGTGCTAACAGATACACTAAAATGCATTTGAGGGCTTTTTTCTTTTATTTCCTGTATACTCCAACAGTAAAGCTCTGTACTCGGCGTCACTGGCTCAGAAACACTGGCTGCTTTTAATTTTGTGCTGAAGTATAGTTTGGGGGAAATGCACTGCTAAAATGCTTAACATAAATCTACAAGCAGGGGTGCTCATCATAGCTTTGCATGGACTATAAGAAAACTGGCTGTGACTTTATGGATTCACCATACAAGCTTATTTATAAGCCTTCTCGTCTGATGCACGACAGTAAAGCATAAGCATATTTACCAAATATTAAATGACTTCTTTAATATTCTTTTAATGAATTCAAGCTGAAGCTACTCCTTGATTAACTGGAAGACAGGAAACAGACTGTATGTGCCTCCATATTTATCATTCAGACATGAGCATTGATTTCCTCATCTGCCTCTCAAGATAGCAAATAATCTTATTAATCAAAATGCCAAACTGTTACTTAAAGGGGCCTTGTAGTTTATCCACTCTTTTATCCTCCCTCGAAGCAGCGAAGAGCCACCATGAGTGATGTCATCCATTCAGCTGTAATCCATTTGTTTTTCCCCAGTCATGGTATCAGAAATGCTGCTATATTATAGCAATAATGTCTATTAAACGAGCTACCGAAGAGCACACTTAAGGCTCGGTGTCTCGTCTAAAGTGTAGTTAAAGGAAAAGCAAACAATTCACTGTGGTTTTTGTAAAACATATAAAACTTACCTCCTGTCATAAAGGACACAAAGCTCTTTACATAAATACCACACCGTAGCTAGCTCTGCTTTCACTGATATTTTCTTTATTAGGACTCTGTTCGGAATGAAAAACAGACCTTGTACGCAGTCCAGCATGCATCTTTGACCAAAAGAGCAGATTTATTCAACTTAATATGAATTGCTCTCAGAAGGGCACTTAGACGTGTACGGTCGCTTCATGCATCTCTCTTCGGAGAGCACATAAAAGCATCCAGCTTGAGATGAATTACCGAAGGCGGGTTTAATAAAAATCAGTTTACTCAGACCCTCGAAGCATCCAGTCGTGAATCTCCTTTGAGTAAACACACAATGGGCATAGTAAAGGCTGCCAAAAAGTAGGGTTTTTTGCTAGAAGTGACACTTAGGTGGAGGGAACAAAGAACCCGTTTTTGTGTAGTTTGTAATAAGAATCTTTAACTTTCTTTTCCTTTAAAAAAAAAAAAAAAACATAAAAAAGAAACCATGGATGTGATGATTGGAGTGACCATCAAGGAGAACAGTCATGTTACCATGGAGCTGTCAGGTGGATGCTTCTGTGCAAGGCTTATTAGGGTCACAGGAGTTTTGGTTGAAGTTCATTCATTCACTCACTGGGTAAGCCTGTAAGTATGGCTGTATTCTGAGTGCTGAGGGTAATGTTGAGGTTTTCAGAAACTATGGAATAAGACAGGATACTTTGAAGTATTTCATTTGTATCATAATATTTTAAAAAGGGAGAAAAACACAGTAAGTGCTGCAGTAAGTTGTTGATGAGCATTTCATGATGCTGTACCAACATCTGAGTCCAAACCTGATACCAGGTTGCCACCCGCTGGTCGGGGGTTAGTTAAATGGCTTTCACATTTTTACAATGAAACAAAACATGTTCCAATATTTCTTTTCGATTGTGACTCCACCACTTGTGAAATACTGAGAACTTAAATTTAACAAAAAATAAATAAATAATAATAACAATGAAAAAAAGACAGAAAATATTTGGCTCTGTTTAGCGTGGTAACATTGAAACACGCGGGGAATTATTGAGGCAGTGCTCAAAGTGTCAGGATTTACTCACAGTCGATTTTAACATTGTGAGAGAGACGTGCTTTTAATGCATCGACATTTCTCATGCATCTCCTAATTGCATGTTTTAATATTTCCACAGAGCTGTTAGCTGCGGGCTAATTTAGACAGATGAGTCATGTTAATTCAACAGCTCAAACAGCTGCTGGTCTAATGGACTTCTTAAGTGAGGAGCTTGTTTATAAAAGCTGCAACTTTGTTTACAGCATTACTGGCAAACGCTTGGCTTGCTGTGATGCAGCCAAAAGCTTAGGATGTCGTTAAAAGCTTGTTTGTTCCCTCTTCCCCTTAAATGGGCTGATTTGATATGAAACTATATGTATATATTGTTGTTGTTGCAGCACATTAACGTTTTGTTGTTGTTGTTGTTTTTATTTTATTTTTCATTGCTCACAATGCTCACCTCTGCTTTCACGCACAACCACAACCGCATCACCCATTTGTCTACCCACCCACCCAGACTCGGATAGCCTCTCCAGCCCCAATCGCCTCAGCCTGTCAGACGGGTCAGAGGACCAGCTCGACCGTCTGCAGCAGGTGGAGCTGGCCAGGACAACGCCCATGTCTCTGTGGAGGGCAGGCACCGTGCAGGCCTGGCTGGAGGTTGTCATGGCGATGCCCATGTACATTCGCACCTGCTCAGAAAACGTCAAAAGCGGCAAGGTATGGCAACACCTGCAGGTTTCTACATGCTTCCATGTTGTTTTTGACTTTATAGCACTCTCCGCCTGAATGGTTTAACCTCCTGTGAAGTGTTTTTTCTTTGCTTTTTTTTTTGCAGGTTTTACTGGGGTTAACGGATGAAGACCTGGAGCTGGGTCTAGGTGTCAGCAATTTGATGCATCGTCGGAAACTCCGCCTGGCCATTGAAGATTACAGAGATGTTGAGAACGGCAGAGGGTAAGGAAGGGCCATAGTGGTCCTTATTGTAAACTGCCTGTTACTTGATGGCGTATGGGGGCCACCTGTCGGTGATTTATTGTACATGCATTTACCTAATGCATGAAGGATCTCGTTTTTGGCTTTTTACCACACAGGAAGTTTAAACAAATGCAAGAGTCCCAAGGCTGTTACAGCTCTTGAAAGCTTCCTAGGGGCATGAAAGGCATGCAGGTCAGCTAAACTGAAGTCTGTCTAAATTGTTCCTGTATGAATCATAAACACATATGTGGCAAGTATAAGCTTATTTGTTTTAACCAACAGTTACACTGTATGGAAGTTTAGCCAAGTAGCAGGTTTAAGATCAAGGTGTCTGGGTTTTGAAATATTCAGTTCAGTAACCCTAAAGCACTGAAGAATTGCATTTGAAAAATTTAGCAGCAGCGTGTCTTTCTCGAGTCAGTTTCCCCCCTTACTCTGGCCTTGATGTGCAAAGTTCGAAGAATTCTCTGTGAAACTGCTTTATAGCAAAGAAATAATCCCTTCAAAAACTTTCTGCAGTGAGTTCCTTTACATATGTGATATTTAGGGCTGCATGTGGTTATCATTATTCAATAATCTAATCCAACTGT